TGGGCTGTTTGGCTTAATTTAGTGAAATTACACAGATCCTTTATCATGTATGAATTAACCAGTCAAATTACCTCCTCTGGTAGAACTAATCCAGCTCGAATAGGGCTTAAGATAAGCTGAGCTACGTGCTGATTCTAATGTACTTCCACATTGGTGATGCTCCACAGCAGTGTGTGAAATGCCCCCTGGTATTCAGGGGGATCCTGTGTTGGCTGGCTACACCGGTGCTGGTTGGCTGCTAACTCACTCTCCATTCTTCTCCTGGAAATGCTTTTTTCTAATTTGGCAATCTGGTGTTTCACACACTAATTCAGATCCTAAATATCTCCTCTTTTTTCTCAGGTTTAAGAATTGAATAACAGTTCATTCTTTCCACCAATCTCTTGGAAAATTGAGCATCTTTTCAGATTTACAAGTATGCTATGGCATATTGTACGCTTTTCAGAGGTATCCCAGTCAAAGTTACAGTTGCGAGGCTGTAAAGGACCGACTGGGTGAACCAGTTTGCTACAGTGCCACCCTGAGGCAGAGCAGCGCTGCATCACTAGTTGGTTAAGAATATCAAAGACAGAAGACTGATGGTGGGTGAAGCAGGCTAGACATGAGCTGAATGTGTATTTAAGCATCTATGCAGACAGCATAATGTCATAATAAGTTTATTTTCAGGGGACCCCAGAATTGAGACATTCAGGTGCATCCAAGAGGTTAGTTAGGGGGTCCTGGACCAGACAGGGCCCCCTGTATTTGGCACCTTGCTCCACAGAGCCACTGACCCCCATGTCTTCAGTGCTTCAGAACCAACAGCTACAAAATTATTTAAAGCTCTGCTTGTGTGAGAGATTGTCTGAGTGTGTCTTCATACTGTATAGAGGCACTTTGAAGTGAGAGAAAAGATCACGCCGGCCACATGCTCAGCACTCTCTGGAGGAACCGGTTGATGGAAAATTGGCTCTGTTATTTTTCCCAGAGGAGAGCAGCTGGACAGTAGTGGAGGCCAGAAAATAAACACGGAAATGGGAGTGAACGCTGGCACACGCTTCACCTCTAATAAGTTTTCTTTGCATATTAGAGGGCATGATTTACACATTACACAGCTGCTTTATGAAGCTAATTTTCTGTTTTTCTATTTGACTAATACTCAGCCTGCCTTATCTTTACGGTTCAGCTTGCACGTGTTTATGTGTGCGCACAGCGTTTGGTCTCAGAGAGAGTAAAATGCTCTAGATACCTCATTTAATCCATTTATCCTGGCTGATCCCGGCAGAGGATGCTGGGATACTGTCCTATATTTCAGTTTGGACAGTAAAATTACATTTCTGTTTACGCAGAACCGATAGAAAGCGGTCCACAGTCATCAATCACAGAGCTCAGGCTGTTTCTCTTTTGTCTAATGTGTGCGACTGGGTGTTGAATTATAAGGTGCTATGGCAGTTTTAAATTGTGGATATCAGGCTCACTTGTTTTTTGCATATTTTTGGATCTTCTGAGCCGCTTCTTGTTCCTATTCTGTCACTAAGAGTGATGTTTTGTGCGTTAGACCTGTAAGTAAAGGGGAATTCCACCAATTTTTTAAACATTTTTGCATAATTCAGTGGTTGAGATGTGAACAAACTCATTCAGAGTGGTTTGATTGGAAATGATTCATGGAATAGAAACTTACCACCTCAGATGTCTTTACAGTGGTGGTGATAGGAACCAAGAGATGTCTCTAATGCAAATCTAGCCATTTTATTTACTATCCAGAATGACCACAGAACTTGTATGTCTTCTGAGTTTTTATGTATGTAATGTTGATAATGGTAAAATAGTCATAATCTGAAAAAGTATGTTTTGTTTGGGTGCTGTTTTAAGCCAAAACCTGATCGTAAAACTATTGTAAACAATGTCTCAGGATGCAGGCAACATGTTTGTATCCATTTCATGTAATAGCCTCCTATGAGGGAGTTTTAAGTGCAATAAGCACTTCAGACGTTCAGTTCTTTTTCACCACCACAGTAAAAAAGTTCTCTGTAAGTTTCTCTAGAATGACACGTTACATCAAACCACTTTAAATCACTTTGTTTATCTCTTAATGGATGCAATTCTGAAAAAAATGGTGGAATTCCCCTCTAGAAGTACAGGAGTGGTTTGCAGTCTGTGTGTAAAACTAAACTGTAGCCGGTCAAGCCTGTTTGTCCACATTTCTCTCTCTGACCCTCCATCAGCAAATAGCCCAGTACACACAGGCTAGAGGCGAGTATCACTTTACTCTATTTTACCCTTCAGAGATATATGTTATTGCTATACATATATAGATATGAGTGATTGCATTGGTCAGTTATAGTAAAGTGGATCAAAAGGTTTATTAGAGCTTGTACATGGTTTTCTGTTTGAGGCCAGACACTGAAGGTGAATATGGTCACGTTTTTAACAATGGATATGATCAGTTGATCGCTGATATTACTCTTCTTATTAGTAATAAGAAGTGTAAGAAGTTCTGTGTGGAGTTTGCATGTCCCCCCCCGTCTGCTTGGGTTTCCTCCCGCAGTCCAAAGACATGCAGTCAGGCCATGGTAAACCACCCCTAGGTGTGAATGTGTGTGTGATGCACTGGCGACCTGTCCAGGGTGTTTCCTGCCTTCTTCCCAGTGACCGTTGGGATAGGCACCAGCACCCGCTGCACCCCAGAATGATAAGCGGCTTAGATTGTGCGTGTGTGTATTGGAAGTTTCACATAAAATTATTGTATATGCAAATGAGATGTTATCTACTTAAAATGCATAAATGTGCAACTGAACAAATTGTCCGTGTCCCAAAATGGTCATTTTACTGGGGTAAGTCAGTGTAATAAGATTTTTTTATTTGGGGCATTTCTATTGGTCCATTCATCTTGAAATTTTGACACAATGCATTGGGCAGCTGCTGTGCTCAAGTGCACATTGTTTTATTGTTTAACGTACAGTTACTAAAAAAAAGGTTTTCAGCTCATTTTGTAGTAAATAATCTAGTATAAATCCAGCTGTTAGAAATATATCATAAAGCAGCATAAAGCAAGTTGTTACTTATCAGCCAGTGCTTAGGTCAGGGGTCGGCAACATGCGACTCTTTTACTGCCCTGTTGTGGCTCCACAGCTGAATTAGATTTGTAGGTAAAAATAAAACAATCCTCCTTTACAGTAAAATAAAGCTCTGCTGATCGTTCAACACAGTTTAACAGTAAATGGTCTTAAACGCTGGAGTTAATGTAGAACTGCTAATTCACCCTTTAACCCTGAAGATCAGTGCAGACTGCTGGTCACCATAGCAACACAGACAACAATCCCACCTAGTAGCTAATAAAACGGCAAAGAGAGAGATTTAAGACCAACATCAATAATTTGTAGATGAATGGACTTATTTGCATTTATAATCAGTCCAGCTGGTTTTAATCTGTAACGAGAAACTGAAACACTCAAAAGTCACAAAGCTGAAGTCAGTTTCTCATTTAAGTCTTCACCTTCCACTTTAAATGGTGCAACAGTTAACTACACAGTTAGCTACATTCTGGCGCCTCAGGCACCATTTAACGAACGCGAAAATTCGAACCAGAAGCTGGAGAATGAGAAGCGACTTCAGCCTCGTAAAAGGTTCAATATTGAAAGACATTTTACAAGAAACTGTTCTTCTTTTGAGGAAAAGTTTCCTGCTAGAGATGCGAGAAAAGCAGCTGTAGCTGAGCTAAAAATTAAAGCAGAGCAAAGTCAGTCTGCGTTTTCATTTATATTATATTTTGCGCCCATATCAGGGCGTTAGCAAATACTGAGACATATTTACAGCCAAGACAGTGAAACGTTACTTCAATTAAATGGACATAAAATGTTGTGGCTCCCAAGGTGGTTAGATTTTTGTTGAAACTCGACTAAATGGCTCTTCTTAACATTTGAGTTGCCGACCCCAGCTTAGGAGGATGATACAGTAATTGTAAAAAGCTTCTCAACCAATCATATTCTGCCACTGGTAGAAACTGTTGTACAACACTGTAAAAAAGAAGCACCATGCTGCCTTTATTGCTGGGTGAACTGTGACCATTTCTGAGTGCGCATGTTCACACAGTCAGAACAGAAGTCAGATCATTAAGAGCTTTTTATTGGTTTGTTTAATCGGATTAACAATAAAAGGCAAGTGAAGTGTGAGTACCGTCACTATGTGTTGGTTTGTTTGCTCAAACTGGCAATTTGTGATGGAAATAAAACAAAAAATCTATGAATTTTCAGATTGGTTCACCCTGTTAGTGAATAACTGGCTAAATAAATATACCAACATTGAGAAAACAATATTAAAGGACTACATTATTAGAACACATTGTGACACGGTAACACTAAAAGACAGAAATAGCTGCTTTTTGCCTCAGCAAAGAAACGAGAATCAAGAGAGTAATAGATATAATACTGATCTCGGATCAGACCTGATAAGACATCAATTATTAAGTGGAGTTTAAAGGGCAACAACTGGATGATTGACCCATACAGTGCCAGATACCTGAAAAATATCAGATAATGTCTTACACAGTGATATGAAACGCATGCTTTTGTGCAGTAGACGATATCAGCAGCATCTCAGAGACAGAAGTGGGAGGAGGGTCAGCGTAAGAAACGGGTTCTGAGAGGGGTGTGGCGTTGTAAACCTGAACAGACAAGTGCTGATCTGTTTCTTTGCACCATATTGCCAGCGTGTCCGTGTCTCAGCACTGGTTCCAACTACTTGCAGTAATTTTTCATTGTTTTGCCTACATGTTCATTCAGCTTCTGAGGTAATGGGTTAGTTGTGTGCTTTGTGATGAATGGCAATTGAATCATTTAAACTACAGGCCTGTTATACTGCTATTAATTTTAAGGCTCATTATTTAGTAACAATAGAAATGTAAAGTATGTAATAACTGCCATTAAAATTATATGTAAGTTGTGTAGTTAGGAGTGAGGCTAAATAGGCCTTATGAGTGACTCTCTCTCTCTCTCTCTCTCTCTCTTTCTTTCTCTTTTCAGAGTACAGAGCAAGTGACCGCGTTCTGTCGCAGCCTTCATGACATGAATCCCACCGAGACCCTGCCGTCCTCCTCATCTTCCTCCTCCTCCTCCTCTTCCTCATGCATACCCAGCCCCATCTCACCCGTGCCCGCACCCGCCACCCAGCGCCAGCTGTCTGACACAGACAAACTCTGCAAGGTCATAAGTGAGCTGGTGGACACGGAGCGCACCTACGTTAAGGTCAGCGCCTGCTGGGGTCAGATTACGACATGGAACTATTTATGCTAGACTTATTATCCAGTTATTAGTCTTAATACTTATTTTTCAGTAACTACATCAAAAATCAAGTTGATGCCCTGAATTGAGTTGATTTAAATGTGTACATAAATTGCATTACTTCAATGCAGTTTTCTCTCTTTAGTTAACTTGATTTGGCAATAACTGTTCAGGCAAAGCATTTTATTAATTCAGCTTTCATATTTAACAAATCTTTAGGGTTTAAAAGGGTACTTATTGGGCTTTTAATACATGGAGGAAGGCTGAATTTGGAGTGCCTAAAGCTACATTCATGGCGTGCATTCATTGAATGACTGAAGTAAAAAGGACAAAGGGTTTGTTTTTAAGCCTAAAGCTGTCCAGACTGGTTAACTACTTCCTTTAATCGCCTTACCCAATGACTTACTAGAGCCAATTATCCACTGCTGTGACTTCAGGCAAGGACTGCTGCTGCTGCCTAGTTACGCCGATAATTTGGCGTCACCTTTGAAATACGTGCTTATGCCCAAAGCCCTTTTACTTCCTTCCACCCTATCATATTTCCTCTCTCGCTCTCTCTCTCAATAGGATCTGAACTGTTTGATAGAGAGATACCTAACACCTCTGCAGAAGGAAAACTTCCTCTCTCAGGATGAGGTGGGTGCCAAATATGTCGCATGATTAAATTCAGTAAAAGTCTGGCTCATGTGAGTCGTGTGTCATTTCCAAACTGCAGCTGATTAATTATGACCAGCGTGGCTCTCGATTGTGTTGTTGTTATACAGTTATATATAACTATAGTTATATATAATAGTTATTATATAGTTAAAGTGAAAAATGGAATAAAATAGAAGAAAATGAATCATTGTGTTTGTTAATGTCGCAGCTGTTTAATACTGTGGGTTTAAAAATAGTGTTAAGGTCAGTGTTGGATGCTGATTTGTTGACCGTGTGTGTTTCCAGCTGGACGTTCTCTTTGGGAACTTACCAGAGATGGTGGAGTTCCAGGTGGCGTTCCTGAAGACTCTTGAAGATGGAACCAGACTAGTTCCAGATTTAGACAAGCTTGAGAGAGTGGATCAGTTCAAGGTACCATCATCAAAAAGTTGTCAGTGGTTTCATTATCTAATGGTTCTCAGTGGTTTCATTATCTAATGGTTCTCATTTGTACCATTATCTCATGGTTCTCATTTGTACCATTATCTCATGGTTTTCATTTGTACCATTATCTCATGGTTCTCATTTGTACCATGGTTCTCATTTGTACCATTATCTCATGGTTCTCATTTGTACCAATATCTAATGGTTCTCATTTGTACAAATATCTAATGGTTCTCATTTGTACCATTATCTCATGGTTTTCATTTGTACAAATATCTAATGGTTCTCATTTGTACCATGGTTCTCATTTGCACCATTATCTCATGGTTTTCATTTGTACAAATATCTAATGGTTCTCATTTGTACCATGGTTCTCATTTGTACAAATATCTAATGGTTCTCATTTGTACCATTATCTCATGGTTTTCATTTGTACAAATATCTAATGGTTCTCATTTGTACCATTATCTCATGGTTCTCATTTGTACCAATATCTAATGGTTCTCATTTGTACCAATATCTAATGGTTCTCATTTGTACCATGGTTCTCATTTGTACAAATATCTAATGGTTCTCATTTGTACCATTATCTCATGGTTCTCATTTGTACCAATATCTAATGGTTCTCATTTGTACCAATATCTAATGGTTCTCATTTGTACCAATATCTAATGGTTCTCATTTGTACCATGGTTCTCATTTGTACAAATATCTAATGGTTCTCATTTGTACCATTATCTCATGGTTCTCATTTGTACCAATATCTAATGGTTCTCATTTGTACCATGGTTCTCATTTGCACCATTATCTCATGGTTTTCATTTGTACAAATATCTAATGGTTCTCATTTGTACCATTATCTCATGGTTCTCATTTGTACCATTATCTCATAGTTTTCATTTGTACCAATATCTAATGGTTCTCATTTGTACCATGGTTCTGATTTGTACCAATATCTAATGGTTCTCATTTGTACCATGATTCTCATTTGTACCGATATATAATGGTTCTCATTTGTACCGATATATAGTGGTTCTCATTTGTACCGATATATAATGCTTCTCATTTGTACTATTATCTCATGGTTCTCATTTGTACCATTATCAAATGGTTTTCATTTGTACCAATATTTATTGGTTCTCATTTGAACCATTATCTAATGGTTCTCATTGGTACCATTATCAAATAGTTCTTATTTGTACCAGTATTTAATGGTTCTCATTTGTACCATTATCTAATGGTTCTCATTTGTACCATTATCACATGGTTCTGATTTGTACCAGTATCAAATAGTTCTCCGTGGTGTCATTATTACATGGTTCTCACTGGTACCATTAAGAACCATTTGATAATGGTACCATTATTTAATTGCACTTATTGGTACCATTATCCTATGGTACTCTAGTACTATCCTCAAAGGTACCATTATCACATGGTTCTCAGTGGTACATTACATATTGGTTCACATTGGTACCATAATCAAATGGATCTCAGTGGAATCATTATCAAATTGGTTCTCAGGGATACCATTCTAAAGTGGATGTCAGTGCCAAAATGGTTCTTTATGGCAAATAGTTAGCAAATGGTTCTCAGTAAAGAAAAGTTATTTTCCAAATTTTTTGTATTGTCATTGTAAATTTTCTTGTTCTACTTCACAGAAAGTGCTCTTCTCGCTCGGTGGCTCGTTCCTCTACTATGCGGACCGCTTCAAACTTTACAGTGCTTTCTGTGCCAGCCATACGAAGGTCCCTAAAGTCCTCACCAAAGGTAAAGCCATCTCATCACTCACAGCCTCATTTCCCTCTTTTTTGAAAAAAGCACTGTGTAGACAGATCACTCTGCACGAAAACCTCGTTTCTTATTGTGAGACGGTCCAGTGAGCCTGTTTTTCCATTGATTGAAACCTGATACTTTCCCTCTTTGTCCCATGGACACTTCACAGCTCCAGGAGCTAAATGATCGAGTCTACATCTTTTTGACATTTGCGACGTTTGGGCCAAAATCCTGTAAATCCTATACGTTGTTTTCCTTCTCTTGAATAGATGTGGTTGGGTGAGAGATGGCATTCGTTACACATAGTGTTACTGGCTAACAATTCACAGCTCCTCTTCCATGGAGAGTCTCAGAGTAGGCCTTTTTCTGCTCCTCTGTGCTTGTGCCATTTCCCAAGGCCCTTTGTTCATGGCACAGCTTTTTCATAAGGCTTGGCAGAGTGTAAAGTACAGGGAATGGGAGAGTAAAGGAAAAGTGTACAATGTTCGGTCAGCCATTCAGCCCTGCTGGGCTCAGTGCTGTAGGTTTTGCTGAAATTGAAAGGGTAACTGTTTAATTCACAGCTCGAAGCACCCCAGCGTGTACTGTTAGAAATGTAAGGTGAGCCCTTAAGCTATTGGAAAATTATGGACTTCCATTTTTTCCAAAAAACACTGCTGCTTTGGTAACTTCAACCTACTCTTATGACCATTTAGCTCTATATTAAAGTCAGTAAGGCCCAATTCCATTTCACCCCTTTCCACTACTACTTAGCCCTCCGTTTTGCACGTTCACACCTGGGGTAGGGTGTCCCGATTTTTGTTGAGATGGAGGGGTAACTGGCTGCGCAAGAGACCAAAGAAACCCGCAAATGTGAGAATTTTCTCTGATAAAAATTATAATAACCATTGTATTATCTTAGTTTAATGTCGTTTCAATGTTTTATGGTCGTAAAAAATCTCTAGTAGTACGTTGATGTCTCGGTCGCTATCTAGCTAAACTTCCCGTTCCACCTTAAATGGTGTATCATTTAAGGTGGAACGGTAAAATTCGAGGAAGAAGCTGGCGAATAGCTGACGTCAGCTTCATAACACCAAACAATTATAGGTGGGCGGTAATAAATAATTGTCCCTCTTTGAAGGCATATGACGCCCTAACTGTAACTAAAGCCCAGCAGTGAGGAGCTGAACTTTACCCTCCTCTGCTGTCACTGCAGACTGGCAGGGTCGCCTGCAGAGCAGCGCTGGTAGCTGTTAATGAAGTGATGCTCTTTTTATTTGAGGGTCCCATTTCATGGGGAAGATTTTAACCACTACAGCTTGTAACACAGAACAAAAACAAGGGGTCGGGGTAAAAATAAGAAATGGGATTGGGCTTAAGTCTGTGCACAGGACACCTGGGAACACTGGAAGAAGACTGTATGGTTTCTTTCTTGAAATACAGTTGGACGAGAGGTTTTACAGACTTTTTTTGCTTCTGAAGTTTCCATCATCTTTTTTCTTCTGTGTCTCTATGTGTACATGCAGCTAAGACTGACCCAGAGTTTAAGGCGTTTCTGGCTGAGAGGAATCCCAGGCAGCAGCACTCGTCCACTCTGGAATCGTATCTGATCAAGCCCATCCAGAGGGTGCTGAAATACCCTCTCCTGCTGAGAGAGCTCTACTGCCTCACTGACCCAGACAGCGAGGAGCACTACCATCTCAATAGTAAGTTTATTACTGGACAGAATGTCTCAAAGCCAACAAATGACAAAGTGAATTCAGGGTGTAATAATTTCCATATGAATCAACACAATTTCATCTTTCAGTTTAGTTACTTTTGGCAGTAATTGAGTTAAAGCAATATATTTTATTAATGGGGAAATGAGACATTCATATAACTGGGTACCTAAATCAACCGTTTGTATAGCTTTTCTATACAGGAATTTGCTAAAATACACTGTACCTTCTTTACATGGGGTCTGTCTCACGAAGCAAGTTAAACTCAGACACAACAAAAATGTCACAGCCCAGTTACATATGGACTGCACTGTGTGGGCTCACTATAAAATTAATTCATACACCGATCAGGCATAACATTATGACCACCTCCTTGTTTCTACGCTCATTGTCCAGTTTATCAGCTCCACTTACTATATAGGTGCACTTTGTAGTTCTACAGTTACAGACTGTAGTCCATCTGTTTCTCTGCATACTTTGTTAGCCCCCTTTTACCCTGTTCTTCAGAGGTCAGGTCCCCCATGGACCCTCACAGAGCAGATACTATTTGGGTGGCGGATCACTCTCAGCACTGCAGTGACACTGATGTGGTGGTGGTGTGTTAGTGTGTGTTGTGCTGGTACGAGTGGATCAGACACAGCAGTGTCACAAGAGCAAAATCACATTTTCAAACCAGGCACAATTTTTTTAACCTTTGTTTAAAGATTTATTTATTTAAAATGATGAAACATGAATAATAAAATACAGTAAGCATAAAAAACCTCCATGAATGGCAAATAATAACAAGATCAAACATGGACTGACATGACAGCTGACTGATGATTCATCATCTGGTTGATCTACAGTACAACTTGTCTTTCATTCTGTGCAGTTGCGATTAAGACCATGAATAAAGTGGCCAGCCACATCAACGAGATGCAGAAGATCCATGAGGAGTACGGAGCTGTGTTTGACCAGCTTATCAGCGAGCAGAGCGCAGACAAGAAAGAGGTAAGACCTCCGCTGGGGTTCATTTGCTGCATAATTTGGCTGTTTTTACCCCCCTAAACATGTAAACAGGTTTTTATGTACTTTGTACCATATTGTGTAGCTGTTGTGATTTTCTGTTTGTACATTTATTGTGCTTGCATGTTTGAATGTTTGATAATCTGATGTCTTTGCTTTCCTACATTTAAATTTAAATGTGTTCCAGGTGGCTGATCTGTCTATGGGTGACCTATTACTGCACGTCACTGTGGCCTGGATCAACCCACCATCATCTCTGATGAAGGGGAAGAAAGACCCCGAGCTCGCTGCTTTCGGTAAGTGAGAGCGCATGAGTATGCATGCGTGTGAGTTTTGTGGGGAGGGGGCAGTGGTGGAAAAGTGGGCCGCTGCTTCCCGGAATAGCATCCCGTCTCTTATTCACCAGCCCATCCAGCACTGCACTGCCGCCTTCAGGCTCAGAAGAAACCACTTTGTCCAGAGGCACTCTGGACATTAATATTGCAGTCACTAACCTTTATAGGCTTTCTGCAGACGAGGAAACTCTGAAAGCATTTCAAAGTAGCTGGAAGATGCAGAAGGTTGATTGGCCCCACGGTCATGGGTTACTGATTGCTTTGTGTCAAAGTTTTCCTCTTTTAAATGCTAAACCAAAAAGACCAAAGGAAAAGAAAACACAGAGCCCCGAGCTTTACTTAGTCAGCCATCTGTGCTGGAGAATTCTTTCAAAATTTGACATGGTTTTTCTAATTCAACCCTAATGCCTTTCTGTCTGCTGTTCTTTCTTTCCAGTTTTCAGGACAGCCGTCGTTTTTGTGTACAAAGATTGCTCCAAGCAGAAGAAAAAAATCGTGAGTGCTTTTCTTCCCCCTTTTCCTCCATTATGCATTAACAGACTGTGAGGCTTGCCGAGAAGTCGGCCCGGTGCTTTTAGTACACGCATGCTTTCCATTATAGTGGAAGCAGTGCGAGGTGGCTGAGAGCGGCCCTGCCAGCATGATCACTCTTAATGTGTCTTCCAGTTCTTTCACTTGTGCCATCAATGAAGATGAGCTCTGTCCCTAAAGCCAGGGTTAAACTACACGATTTTAGCCCCGATTCTCAGTCTGGCCAAGTCTGTGCTGGTCGGCTCTAGTCTGCAGATCTTTGGGTCAGTCGGAGTTGACAGTCGGAGAGAGAGTCGAGTCGGGTGTGAGGGGCGCAGACTCAGATTTACTGCCTCCCGATCGCGTTTCAGACCAGTCGGAGTTTATCAAACAATTGATTTTTTGACCCGACTCAGAGCGTAATCTAGTGTAAACTGATAAACGACTCAATCTGAACAGATTCCTGCAACAGCCAATAAAAACAGAGAGCGCGAAAGAAGAAAATACAGCAAGTGAACAAAGAAAAATGACAAAAAAGTCTCTCATGTGTGGAGCGAAGCTTTTTAATGAGCTGAGTTTAAGGCACAGTCGAGTTTATGTACATTTAAAACTCTAAAAATACCAACTGATCACATTTTTAAACCCATGATCCTCACACATGTTTACCTGTTGCGTAAGTTTGCGTGAGTTCAGTGAGCTCCGTTCGGTTCAGCAGCAGCTGAAAAGTTGAGTAGATCCCTAATTGTTTAGTGTGTGATCCCCAATATTTCAGTCACCCAAAATAGTCAGCAAAAACCAGTCGGCGGTGTGAGACGCCCAGTCTTTTTACAATCTGTTCAGACTTTAAAAGTCCAAGGCTTTACGTGAGTCATAACTTGGGTGAAAAATCAAATTTGCACAAACTTTCCCTTCATGTACAAGACATGTTTGCTTTGCTTAGTTTTGCACTGGAGTAATGGAAGCTTGTACTTCATTAGCATTAAGCAACCTGTGCTGTGCAAACGTCAGAGACCACCCTTCATTTGTTTTAGTTTCTTATCAGAACTGCCATTAAGTACAAGTCACTCATTATTTAGTGTTGGGGAAAAAGCAGAAAACACGTAATATATAACAGAAAATTGCACAGAATTACACAGAAGTCATAACACTAAATATAATAGCATGGTCTTAGTGTTTAGTGTGTCCACGCTTTACCTTTATTAGAGCTCCTATTACTTTCAGAAGACTTGCTTTTAGTTTTTCAGAGAAACTTCTAGGGATATTTTTCCACACCTACAAAGTTCAGTCTTAGAAGTTGGTTGCATTTTCTCCTTTTCATGATTCAGCTAATCCTAAACACTTTCAGTGAGGTCTGGACTCTGGGGTGGTCAGTTCATTGTTCTGAGAACACCAGCAGCTTCTTTGTTCTTTTTTTGTCCATTTTTCTTTTCTCAGTAACAGCTTCTGGACAGCTACACACCCTCTCAGTTCTCACAGTGGAAGGAACCAACTGTAATTTTTATTTAAGATCCAAAGCAAGAGTGGAGCTTGATTTTATCTTCTCTCTCAAAAAAAGAGTTTTCAGTATTGATTATATGATGATAGTTTTGGGGGTCTACCAGGTCAGAAATATCTCCTGGAAAAATGAATAACTAATGTCCATAATGTCTGTTTTGGTTGCAAATTAAATAAATGAAGAGTGCTTTCTGACTTTTGGACAGTACTGTATACCATCACACACTTGCCTCAAACTGGGTCAAGTTATTCAATAATCTCAAGTAAATTTGCTTAAGTGGTTTCTGACACTATATTACATGCTGTTACTTATAGAAATGGGCAAAAGTACCTCACATGACTAAATAAGTAATAGCAGCCACCATGGAGGGTCAATTTGCCTGCGCTTTGTCTGTTTTTATAGATATTGGTGTGTCATACAGTATCACAAACCATAAAAGATCCAGTTTTTAGGCTCTAGCCTTATCTCTGCTAGTGACTGCATATCGCTGTTGTCGGAAGAAAACCTTATATCTCCATTTTTGACGTTTTTCAGTTTTTGACATTTTGGCAAAATATCTGTTGCCCTTTACATTGTGTGTAAACTTCATGATGAATGGACCAAAACAAACGGCCCAAAATTACTTGGAAAAAAGTCTGGTTCCATTGACTTACATCAAAAGTAAAGTAGGTTTTTTCCTTCTCCTGTAAAGTTACCATTTTGGAGATACAAGGTTTTCTTGCAAGAACCGTGATATGTAAGGTCTTTTTTAAGGACTTTATGAACTGTTCTGCCACCTCAGTCTTTCATTAGTAATTTAGAATTACTAGCCTTTCGTTTCTCATTATCTCCTTCTCTTCCCCCTGTAGGGAACTTCTCACCGAGCTTCAGTGTCTGATGAGCGAGACCCGTTTCGTTTCAGGCACATGATCTCCACGGACGCTCTCCAAGTCCGCACCCCCACCAGTGAGTCATAATTTTAATTACTTTTCAAAAATGAATACTGTTAAAAAATACAGTCTTAAAATAAAGGTTTCTAAATGGTTATTAGCTTGGGAGAAACGCTTAATTGGTACAGAACCATTAAAGGTAAAGGTTCTTTAAACTTTAAAACGGTTTTTCGCAGTAGCACATCTCAAAGTGGTTCTTTAAACAACCTTCATTTAAAACTACAAGTTAGCAAACTACAAGTGGCTCTTCTATTAAAGAACGCTGTTTGGCAACGTTTAGACTGTCAGACTATGAATCTGATGCAAGTCCAAGTTTATGCAGCTTGAGCTGAACATATAAATCAGAATCTTCTATTTCTGAACTGTTTAGTCTTGCAAACCTGTTTTCCATCTGGGGAGCCATCAAACCTACGAGTCATTAGAAGCGTATCAGACCATTCCTGTCCATTCCCTGAAGATAGCTAGCTCTGTTACCAAACATATACAATTCCCATCACATTTACTCTTCCTTCACCCCCTATGGGCGTCACATGTGCTTCACAAGCTTTGCATAGGCAGCACGGGACATTTTTATGAGGTCATGGCTGGATTGCTGTGCATGTTCCCCTGTGAATGGGGAGTAACTACAGCCATTGCAATAATTGCCCTCCATAAGGTTCAATGCGCTGCCTTTTAGCACAGCAAGCCAACGCTCTGAAGTTCAGTGACCTTGCCCCTGACCCCAAGAGAGCCTTTAATGTTCTTCAAGTGTACTCAGTCTCTCCAGAGCCCCTGCGGCCTACTTGCTTATCTGCTCAGCATGACTCTCAGACTGAAGAGGTCTTCTCTGACACATCCAGCACATTTTGTAATGTCTTTAAGCTGTTGTTTGAAGATGATCTTTGAACGAATCATGTCGTGGTATGTTTCTCTAGATTCAGAAGGAACGTCAATGTGCGAGATTGTTCATGTGAGATCAGAGTCTGAAGGGAGACCAGAGAGGACCTTCCATCTCTGCTGCAGGTGAGTCCACCATTACATATTGGGTGAATCATATTGACATTTCACAAGTAAAGCTCTCAGTTTCACATAATAAATTTTATAAAACCAAAAGTTCTGGTCCTAAAATCTGATTGGCTGAGCCACGTTCGAAGCCGTTGTAAAATCCACAATATACCCACTCATATGACTGCCTCACAATGACTGAACTCTGTGTCACTGCGCCACGGCTCGAACAAAACCCTTGTGCTGTTAATGGAATAATCTTTGACTCTAATGATGCTCGCATGGAGCACCGAATGTACTGATGAAGTAAGAACCTGTTTCCTGTTTAAACTGAGGAGCTGGCGGCTTAAGTTCTTAACTAGAACTAGTCTGGTCAGCTAGCTAACAGGCTAAAAGATAGCAAACATGCTAAACAACTCCAACATTAATACCACAGGCTTGATTTAAAGCACTTACAGTATGATTGACTGTAAAAGGGCAGAATAGAAGTCTAAAAAATGCCACTTGAATGTCTTAGGTGCTTCATATGTCCGTGTTTCAGTCAGAAACAGCGTCACACCCAGGCTGAATCCCAAACGGCTCTGTATTCCCTAAATAGTGTGCTAGATATGAAAAATTCTAGCATCTACAGCCAAATAATGCATCATTTATCGAGTGTGGATGAGTCCCAAATGACTATTTCTTAGCTGTATTATTCACTGTTGGGCTGCAGGATCCAGTATTTAAATTCCCGCCTAGTGCACTATGTAGGGAGCATGGAGCCATTTGAGATTCAGCCCCAGCGTGAGAAAAGGGGCGCCGCTGGATTGGTGCTAAATAAGACTCGCGGTGATAATTTGGTGACCAGAAAGTGCTTATAAAGTAAAAGTTTGAAAATTCATGAAATGACCGCAACATACAGGAATGGACGACGGGACGTTCTCCTCATGCAGCGGTTCATGGTTGCTTGGTAACGATACCGCACTCTAAAGGAACTACATTTCGTGGCAGAATACTTGTTTATGTCGATTATTATTAACAATAACTCAAATTATTTTCTGAACAATTGTGTATTTTATCATATTTCATGTTGGCCGCTGTTTTATAAAAGTAATAAGCCACTTGAGACTGTGCGTGCCACTTGACTCCGCTTCATGCCGTGCCTAAGAACACCCCTCCCCGTGATAAAATCGCAGTAACCCACAGCCCCTCGTGGCTTACTGCTTTAGTAATTGACATCAGTGCATCTTTTTGTGTATTACATATGAAGGCACAGAACCTCCGGCATATGTAGATTCATGCAGAGGGAAACTGGATCTCATTATGAGCTGCATATGTTATATCTCATTACACTAATATGGCTGGTACATCTATAAAGAAAATGTCCATATATATATATATATGAGCTCTATGTTCTGTTCCAGCTCTCCTGAGAGCAAGAAGGACTTCCTGAAGACTGTGCACTCCGTCCTGAGGGACAAACAGCGTCGGCAGCTGATGAAGACAGAGAGTCTGCCTCTTAATCAGCAATACATTCCATTTGGAGGGAAACGCCTAAGTGCTCTAAAAGGAGTCCGGCCCACTATGAACAGAGCAGGTAGCTGAAATGAACTGGTGCTGAGATAAACAATATCTGTCTCCTTTCTTCTGTAATATCATCTCAACAGCTACGGAAACAAACAGTTCAGCGGAAAATCTAATTTACACAATTTTCTCCTCTCGCCAGATGTTTTTAATCAGCCAAAACTCTGCTTTTGATATTTTTTTATGTGGCTTTTAACCATGTATGACATTTTATATGTGATAGAAACTGACATAAGTTCAGGCATCAAGATGGCCGCTGTTTTTAGCTATGCAATATAATTTTTGTATAATTTTATGGATAATATATACACTGCATGCATGTCTGTTTGAATTTATCTAACAGTTTGACACAGTTTGAGCCGATGTAATGGTGTGATGACTTAGACTTCCTTACTTGTTAGTTTTAATAGATTGGCTTTGTAGCTAATAAGCAAACTTCAGACAATAAGCATGTCTTGTTCACTGTATTTAGGTGTGGAGAAATTTGTGCACATTTGTTTTTTTGCCTAACTTTAACAAAACATTAAAAATGTTAGATTTGGACAGTCCTTCCAGGAATTTGCGATCACGAATTCATGCAAATTCAACCAACCCTGGCAATACTTGCAAAGGTGCACAATTTTGTCTTATCACTGCATTATTTCCACATTAAACATGGAAATCTTGGAAGTGCTTTCACAATTATTGGATTGATTTTTTTGTGCCATGTGTTCTTTCACTGGGGCAGGGTAGATCTCTTCAATAATCACTTTTTTAAACAATAAAACGTTATCATGCTAATTATTTTTAGATATTTTACAGGCCTAGTTTAGATATCGCGCCAGGCCGAGTCACAATGCTGCTGAATGTTCCACCAAATTAAGTTTGAGACCACTTTATTTTACTTCTTTTCTCTCATCATTGCTGAACGTTTCACTATAGAAACATGGTGCTTATTTCCATACAAGTAGTTTTATTACAACGCTGAGGTCTCGAGTCTGTATGTCTGTATGTTCTTGTTTTTTAGAGATGCACTTCATTTCCAATTTGCTTCTTCCATTTTGTTATCTGGACAATATATTTCTTCAAAACAGGCTAAAGAAATATATTGACGCTGTTGGAACAAAACCTCATATCTCCAAAAGAGTAAACTTTTTTTATTTCACCATTATTTCGGACTGTTGCTACAGTGGCAGCTGGGATTTTCAAATTATGCAAAAAGAGAAACGGGTCATTCTACAGAAACGTCCACTTTTGTATCTATCTATAGGAGTCACTGGTGTTACTGATCGTCATTGGTGTTACACATAATAAAGGGAACACCAGAGACATTTTTAATAAAAAATGCATTTTACAAAATGGCTGCTACAGAACATCAAACGACATGTTGTCAATCACGGAATATCCACTAAAATATGTAATTTAATCCATTTTTTTTTTCACAGTTACCTCAAAATAAAGTCGGTCACACCAGTGACTTCAGCTAAAAGCTTCATATGAAATCATGAGCTAAATGAGAAAATCTCTGCTAACTGAAAGACACAGTGGACTCACCATGAGCTTTTCTTCATAGATCCTCAGAAAACAGGGAAAAGGAAGTCAAGTGATGTCATCAGTGTGATTTATATTTCAAAATAAGAGATTTTTTGTTACGCGGTAACGCCAGTGACACGACTCCTGGGGAACTTTCATTATATATTTAATAATATTTATTTGGCATTTGTTTTCTTTGTCATTTAAATCATACATTTGATAGTCATGTATAGATTATTGCAGTTAAAACTGCATATGTGTTTCACCTCAAAATGCGGCCTCACCTTTACACATGACTGTGAGGACGAGCTCTTCTGTGGTGCTTGGAATTCTAGATGCTTGATTTAAAAACCAATATTGCTAAATTGAGGATCAAGAAGGCATAATTGTTAAAATAACTTACTGTTTTAGTTTAAAATATAAATAAATTGTAACCCTGACATGTTTTTCAAGTGTAATGTATCTATAAACCCTAGGGACACAAAAATGGTTTCTGTAGAATGATCAAAAATGGAGATAATGGTGATGATATCAGACTGGTGGAACTGGTTGTATTTGAGAATCAGCATAAACTGATCACACTCTGAAAATCTCACATAGTTATTTTCCCTCTCTCTCTGTCTCTTGCAGTTTCAGCTCCGCCTCGAACCCTCGGCCGCAGGAAGCTGATCCGGAACCGCTTCACCATCGACACGGACGTGGTCTTTGACAACGGCTGCAGCCAGGATTCGACCGCTTCTGCGGACTCTCCACCTCAACGACAGCCTTCGCCACCCCGGAACACACGGGACACTGACCGCTGGGTGGAGGAGCAGTTTGACCTGCAGCTGTATGACAAGCAGGCAGACGTGAAGGAGACAGACATTCTCAGCGATGATGATGAGTACTGCGAGTCCGTCAAGGGTTCCTCAGCTGAGCTCAGCCTTGAAGAGTCTTTTGAGGCCCTTATCGCAGAAGGTGAGGAAGAGGGGGAGGAAGAGGAAGAGGAGGAGGGCGAAAAAGAGGAAGATGGTGGCCGGAACGGAGGCTCCGAGGACAAGCCGTCCCTCAAGCTGCCCGAGAAGTCCCACGGCCCGTTGAGGCTGACCCCGCTGCGGAAGCAGTGCGCTGTGGAGGGCGCCGCAGCCGAGAGGGAACGGGAGGTCATCTGGGTCCGCAGAGAGGATTTCAACAGCGGCTGCAACAGTGACATCTTCTGAGTGGAAGAGAGCGAGGCCGTGGGAAGGCCTTGTTTATATAAGCATGGACGCCAGACATAGGAGCCAGTTTTCAAGCCACAGATTAAGCTTACTTTTGGACGGAACGTCAGTGGGATCTCCGTTGCCAGTGTAAATAAATTGGAAATGACGACTGAGCTCAATCTGTGTCCCATAAGCTTTAGAGAGGACTGAAATGCTTTCATCAGCCTTTATCAGACGTACTGTGCAGACACTACTTCCAGATAGGGGTGCGGGATCGGAATGGGCCAGGATTGGAATCTAACCCTCGATTTATTTTTATTTTGGCCGAAGGCCTTAATAATTTTATGACGTAAAGGTTGTGAGCCAGCCAAGTGCTTGTTTTAAGTCTAGTCTGGGTTTTCATATCGCCTGCAATGTGCAAGTTAAACAGTCCTATTATCTTTATTGGAGCTTAGCAAAACACTTTGGCCAATAAAATGGGACAAAAATTTGGCCAACAAATAAAGAAATTGGAATCAGCCATAAAAATTCACGATCAGTGCGCCCCTACTTCCAGACAATCCTACAGGACAAACGTTCTTAACTTATTAACCAGTACGTGGAGCCTATACGTGGATGGACTCAAGCTGCTGATGGACTCAGTATGGGCGCAGCACCTCACCCCGCCACCTGACATCCAGCCTGGACTTCATATAGATGTTGACAGTGACCTACTGTCCAATCATGTTATCTATAGATCCTCCACACACTGACATGGTGCAAAGGTATGCACTCATAACCTGTAGGCAGCTACACTTCCATTCATTGAACATTTGTTGCCAAAATGACTATTTTTGCAAAAAACGCTAGGAGCATGGGTCTTTCCTTCTTTTTTTTTGGCTTTTCGACTGCTGTTCACTTGTGCTATACTCAAGGGCTGTGTGTTCTGTCATGACATTCAGGGGCCTGTGGCTAAAGACTGGCTAAAATTGACGCAAGCCTTATTTTGAAGCGCAGACGACTTCGTCCAGAGCACAAAAGCATAAACTTTAGTATTAAGTTCGCACTCTCTGTTTACTATTTAGCATGTCCCAAAACAGTCTTCGCTCTTTCTTTCCTTCTGTTCCTCATTGGCTTTACTGTTTACCCAATAGTCCAGTATTACCCAGCCCTAATCACTGAAGGGATGTTTTGAATTATTATTACTGATCCTGCTGTACTTGAATTTCATGTCAAGGTTGTTTAGAGACAGTGTAACGCCCTGACCTTTCAGCCCTGTACACTGCAATAATGTGAGTCCTCTTATTTTGTGCTTCAAGGTACACAAATCATCACGATTTCCCCCTTTTTTGATGTACTACTGAAAGAAACAGTCACTCAAAGTCAACACAGACTTTGTATACCGTATGGTATGACATCACCGATCAGTGCACATAGTGTCATGAACTGCACTTAGCTGTTTATGAAGTAGCACTGAGTGTCTGTGAGATCATTTTAATGGCTGATATGTGAAATATAAGGACCTTTTGGACCTTTTTATGATGTTTTATACACCGCTTGTTTAGATCATGGTGGAAATAACATATTACTGAAAGAGAAAGAAAGTATATTTTTAACGTGAGCGTGGAGGACCACCCTCCTGTTGTGAAATGCAATCACTTACTGTATCTGTAGTTTTTAAACTTTTTGGCTTAGAGAGATGTGACTGTAAAGATTCCTTAACTTTTGCCCTTTGCATTTTTGAAGCCGTGTATGTTCATAGGTTTGTGGACTATTGTTCTCCTGAAATAAATTTTCCTTATTTATATTTGCAGTTTTATCTGATTTACTTAAACGCGTTAATATGGTTACTACTGTTTTGCGAAGACGATGTGCAATGCAATACTTAAAATGACTGTCTTTACTGACCATTCAAAGTAGTGGTCAAACTTTAAGAAAAGAGAGGGGGGGAAAAAGTCACTGACTGGCTGCTTGATTAGAAACCTCTGCCACTTTTCTGGTGTACAGTTAGAGAATGTAGCACATCTGTTCTTAGTGACCCTCCAGCCCTTGATTAGTGGTCAGTTTTCTTACCACAGAGCTGCTCTTGGCTGGATATTTTTGTGTGGTGGACCACTGTCAACCTTGTAGTGACACTGGCAAGTGCAAAGACTCCAGCAACATCACTGCCTGATACTCATGACACATCAATGTCACAAAAATATCCAGCCAAGAGCAGCTCTGTGGTCAGAAACTGACCACTAATGATGTGCTGAGAGTGGTTCACCAACCAAATAATATCTTGTGAACTGCAGTGCTGTGGTCAGACACTGACCAATTAGGAATGGGGCAGAGGGGAGCTGATAAATTGTGCATGACAAAAGATGGGCTACAGTTTGTAACTGTACACCTATATAGTGGACCTATAGGGCCGGTAGAGCTCATAAAGTGTAAGGTCGGTGCGTCGAGCTTTGGACCAGTAATTAATATTATAGTAAATATACTGAGACAATTTAAATAAGAGCTGATATTGTGCATATTATAATTCTTTTGCTTGCTTTCATGTGATTTATTGCTTTGTCTTCATTTAATCCCTTTATACAGTCATTCTAATCTATGGTTAGTTCAGTAAAGATTAGATTAAATTAGATTCAACTTTGTCATTGTGCAGAGTTCAGGTACAGAGCCAATGAAATGCAGTCAGCATCTAACCAGAAGTGCAAAATACAGTATTATTTACATATAAAGTGCAGAGGGACGGTATATAGTGGTAAAAAATATATAGATATGCAAGTATAAATATGATATACATATACACAGAGTAAGTGGACAGTGTACAATGAGGTAGTTAGTCCTATGAAGTAGTACACTATATTGCCAAAAGTCTTCACTCACCCATCCAAATCATTGAATTCAGGTGTTCCAATCACTTCCATGGCCACAGGTGTATAAAACCAAGCACCTAGGCCTGCAGACTGCTTCTACAGACATTAGTGAAAGAATGGGGCTCTCAGGAGCTCAGTGAATTCCAGCGTGGTACTGTGATCGGATGCCACCTGTGCAACAAGTCCAGTCGTGAAATTTCCTCACTACTAAATATTCCACAGTCAACTGTCAGTGGTATTATAACAAAGTGGAAGCGATTGAGAACGACAGCAACTCAGCCACGAAGTGGTCAGCCACGTAAAATGACAGTGCGGGGTCAGCAGATGCTGAGGCGCATAGTGCGCAGAGGTCGCCAACTTTCTGCAGAGTCAATTGCTACAGACCTCCAAACTTCATGTGGCCTTCAGATCAGCTCAAGAACAGCGTAGAGAGCTTCATGGCCGAGCAGCTGCATCCAAGCCTTACATCACCAAGCGCAATGCAAAGCATCGAATGCAGTGGTGTAAAGCGCCGCCACTGGACTCTAGAGCAGTGGAGACGTGTTCTCTGGAGTGACAGATCATGCTTCTCCGTCTGGCAATCCGATGGACGAGTCTGGGTTTGGTCGTTGCCAGGACAACGGTACTTGTCTGACTGCATTGTGCCAAGTGTAAAGTTTGGTGGAGGGGGGATGGTGCGGGGTTGTTTTTCAGGAGTTGTGAAAGGAACTCTTAATGCTTCAGCACCAAGAGATTCTGGACAATTTCATGCTCCCAACTCTGTGGGAACAGTTTGGGGACGGCCCCTTCCTGTTCCAACATGACTGCGCACCAGTGCACAAAGTAAGGTCCATAAAGACATGGATGAGCGAGTTTGGTGTGGAAGAACTTGACTGGCCTGCACAGAGTCCTGACCTCAACCCGATAGAACACCTTTGGGATGAATTAGAGCAGAGACTGCGAGCCTGGCCTTCTTGTCCAACATCAGTGTCTGACCTCACGAATGCGCTTCAGGAAGAATGGTCAAAAATTCCCATAAACACTCCTAAACCTTGTGGAAAGCCTTCCCAGAAGAGTTGAAGCTGTTATAGCTGCCGACATCATATTAAACCCTATGGATTAAGAATGGGATGTCACTCAAGTTCATATGCGTGTGAAGACAGACGAGGGAATACTTTTGGCAATATAGTGTATGTCCTGTGAGAGCAGCATATCGCTGTTGTCGGAAGAAAACCTCGCATCTCCACAATGGTAACTTTACAAGAGAAGGAAAAAACGTACTTTACTTTTAATGTAAGTCAGTGGAACCAGACCTTTTTCCAAGTTATTTTGGGCCGTTTCTATTGGTCCATTTTTGATGAAATTTACACACAATGTAAAGAGCAACAGGCATTTTCAAAGTATGTCAAAAACTGAAAAATCACAAAAATCGAGATACAAGTTTTTCGTCCGACAGCAATGATATGTAAGGATAAGTATGCAGAGTAAACTTGTACAGTAAATGTTGGTGCAAATATGAATAGTGCAATAATACTAGGATATAAAGTACAGTAACAATGCAGTGAGTGCAGAGATGCAGTTAAAGTGGCAGTGAAGGGTTCAGCAGGGTCACAGCCTCAGGGAAGAAGCTCTTCCTGACCCTGCTGGTGCGGAAGTGGAGGCTTCTGTAAAGCCTGCCAGATGGGAGGAGGGTAAAAAGTCTGTGGTCAGGATGAGAAACGTCCTTGATGATGTTTCTCGCCCTGCCCAGGCAGCACTTATGGAAAATGTTCTCAGTGGATGGTAACTGGGCACCTGTGATGCATTGGGCAGTTTTTGTGAGGTCAGATGCGGAGCAGCTGCCGAACCACACTGAGTGCAGTTTGTGAGCACTATTTTACCATTATCAGCGTGACATATAAAACCTACAAGACACATGTAAGCTCACTGGTCATTTTAGATAGCAGATAAAATGGTGATATTTGTAGTGTGGACATAATGACGTCTGGTTCCCAGTACTATAATGGTGAACAATTCTGACTGTAAATTTCCCTACTTTCCCTACGAACCACTCGGAATGATTTTCTATCTAAACCATTGAATGATTAGGTAATTTTGTTAAATCGATGGAGTTCCCCTTTAAGTGTTTTTGTTAAAATGGGTGGCCAGTGCTGATAATTACAACAGCACTTGTAACGTCAGAATATGGTCAGAAGAGGGCAGTACAATATTGCAGTTGCCATTAGGATTTTCCACAGTATTTACACTCCAGCATTTCCTCCATCAGATGACAAGAAATATCAACAGTTCTGATTATAAAGCACTCAGTGATAAGATTTTCCATGACAACGTAGGTATTTTTAAACTTCTCACAGGAGCTACTTTCATCTAAAGTGATTTCAATAGACTGGGGTCATGCTTATATAACGTGTATGGGGTTAAAGTGGTCAGTCATTTCCTCTCCTGAAGGTTACTGTTTGGCTTGGGTTTTTATCCCCCCTGTTAAAGATCATTTAATGAGGTGAGAAACAAGGACAGGGAGGCGGGGCCACAATGGATGGCTGTCAACCAAAGGTCATGGTTATGGTTGTCTTACTGCCTCCTAACTCTATTACAGCCTTGAGCAAATCACAATCATGAAGCGGCCGCAAAGATGATGTCCATTCAGCTTGCCAGCTTGACTGTAATATGGCGTTGTAGCTGCACGTCGCTGCAGTCGGAACAAAACCTGGTATATCCAAAATGGTAACTTTACAGGAGAAGAAAAAAACAAACGCTACTTTTAATGTGAGTCAATGGAACCAGACTTTTTTACAAATTATTTTGGGCCGTTTCTTTTGGTCCATTCATCATGAAATTTACACACAATGTAAAGAGCAACAGGCATTCTCAGCACTGTGGTGACACTGACGTGGTGGTGGTGTGTTAATGTGTGTTGTGCTGGTACGAGTGGATCAGACACAGCAGTGCTGCTGGAGTTTGTAAACACTGTGTCCACTCACTGTCCACTCTATTAGACACTCCTACCTTGTCGGTCCACCTTGTAGATGTAGAGTCAGAGACGATAGCTCATCTGCTGCTGCACAGTTTGTGTTGGTCATCCTCTAGTCCTTCATCAGTGGTCACAGGACGCTGCCCACAGGACGCTGTTGGCTGGATATTTTTGGTTGGTGGACTATTCTCAGTCCAGCAGTGACACTGAGGTGTTTAAAAACTCCAGCAGCACTGCTGTGTCTGATCCACTCAGACCAGCGCAACACGCACGAACACACCACCACCACGTCAGTGTTACTGCAGTACTGAGAATGATCCACCACCCAAACAGTGCCTGCTCTGTGAGGGTCCATGGGGGTCCTGACCACTGAAGAACAGGGTAAAAGGGGGCTAACAAAGTATGCAGAGAAACAGATGGACTACAGTCTGTAACTGTAGAACGACAAAGTGCACCTATATAGTAAGTGGAGCTGATAAAATGGACAATGAGCGTAGAAACAAGGAGGTGGTCATAATGTTATGCCTGATCGGTGTATATTTACATTATTTACTAAATCTAAAACTGTATTTTGCTTTTGTGGCCTATAAAAAATACAGTATTACTTTGTAAAATATATGTATAAAAACATGATTTGAAGCCTTCTTGTTTCCTTTATTTATCTAATATTTTTTATTTTTGGCCCTTTAGCCCACCACAAACATTGCACTTTGGCCCCCTAAGACAAAAAGTTTGAGCACTGCTCTAGCTGTACTCTAGCAAGGTGGACAAGATAGACTAATAATGTGACCAGGGAGCAAATACTAGGCTTGGCCTTGGGCTGCATTACATTCTCTGTGGAGACTGTCCACTGACAATCACTGTAGTCTAGGCCAAGGCAACTTCCCACATCAGAAATGACATAATCACAACAAGTTTCCATCATTCTGTAAAGACAGCTTTCAGAATTTCAGTAACACAACACTCCCAAAACCTGTTCTCCACCATAAATCCACTCCAGAGGAAAAACAGACAGGCTGTAAACAAACACACCAATTTTCCATCACAGGCAGGACATGCTGAGCATACAGATAGGAACATTACTTATTATGTGTTATTTATACTCTATAAAAAAAGACGTCTGGTTCCATTGACTTACATTAAAAGTAAAGTAGGTTTTTTTGCTTCTCCTGTAAAATTATCATTTTGGAGATACGAGGTTTTCTTCCGACAACAGCGACATGTAAGATCTTTATTGTCATTGTTAAAAACAATGATAAACCATTTAGCAGCTCTAGAATTGACAGCAAAGACATGAACAAGAAATAAAGATAAATAAGGACAAAGAAACAAATATAAATACAATGAGATGCAAAATGAAAGATATCTCAGTCTTAGGCCCAATCCCATTTCACCCCTCTTCCCTACCACTTCGCCCTTAGCCCTCCGTTTTGCGCTATCACGTCTAGGGGTGGGGTGTCCTGATTGTTGGTGAGATAGAGGGGTAGGGTGAAGTGTTGGGACTACATGATCCTCCAAACAGAGGTATTTCAGCGACTCCAAACAGAGAGTTATGAGAAAAAAAGAAAAAATGGCAAGATGGCTGAACAAGAGACCAAAGAAACCCACTAATGTGAGAATTTTCTCTGTTAAAATTATGATAACCACTGTATTATCTTAGTTTAATGTTGTTTCAGTGTATTATGATCGTTTTCTTCATAACTGATGTCTCTGTAGCTAGCTAGCTATCTTTCCCGTAATTTTTTAAATAGTCCAGCAGTTCTGACGATTGAAGCGAATTTTCCATCACAGGCAGGACATGCTGAGCATACAGATAGGAACATTACATATTATGTGTTATTTATACTCTATAAAAAAAGACGTCTGGTTCCATTGACTTACGCTAAAAGTAAAGTAGGTTTTTTTGCTTCTCCTGTAAAATGATCATTTTGGAGATACGAGGTTTTCTTCCGACAACAGCGACATGTAAGGTCTTTTTTCTTACGACCACTGCATGTTAACAATGTTAACTGGATGTTAACGGGTGTTTTTCAGTGTAACAGTACAAATCCGTGAACACGTCTCCATTTCTGTGTGTGTGAACTTCTTTTTGCAACTGCAGATTTTTGACCCTGTTTTGACGGCAAATTGATGGACCGATAGGAAAGCTTGGTCTAATCTGGTGACTGGTGACTTATCGAATCACAACCCTGATTGGTTGCTGTCAGTCGAAGCTTTGTTAAGCTGTTGGTACCCGCCTCTAATGGCGCTTTGACCGAGGGCATAAGTGGACATATTGGTATCTGATTGTAGCAGTATGTATACATGTTAGGTAACAGAACAAAAACTATGGGCATTTGACTTTGCAGTTAGTAATGTTAAAGTATAGTAGTATTGTCACGCGCCCGTCCCCCGGGCACCGGTGAGGCCGCGAGAGCCGGCAGGAAGGCGGGGCCCATACTCCGAATGAGGACGAAGCCCCCTGAGGACAGCGGGGAGAGGAGAACTGCAAGTGAGTGGGGGGCGGTGAGCGAGTCCCGAACACCGCCGAGGGATGCGAGTGACGGCAGGAGGAGGACGTCAGCCGCCAGAGAGGGGAGGACAATGATGACCGCCACGAGAGGCATGAAGGCGGGATCAACTCTCTTTTCAATGGAACTTTCAATGGAAGTTAATGTTACAAGGTTTTAATCAAAGTCTTTTTGGGCCATTTCTAATATTTCAGTTATAATAAACAGTATACTGTTTTGATGTCCTCTGTGGTGGACACTGGAACTTAGCAAATCTGTTTTTAGATGAAATTCATGGTATCACCTGTGACAGATAAAAATTAAAGGGTGATCACACCCCTCTTGATCCAATTAGGGTCAGAAGCAACAACATGCAAGCTTAGCGATTAAATACATTATTGTGATATTAGTGTATCTAATTTTTTTCTTTTTGGTCCTCATTTTTTGCACTGCCAGTATTTTAAGCTTTACTCTTACTGCTAAATGGACAGCTGGAACAAATGTGCGCTGGCATTTAAGCTCGGGATCTGAGCTTTTATTTAATGTCCTAATTTATTTTACACAATTGTACATTTAAAATTTCAATATTTAAGATAAATTAATTCTCATCCCTATTCATTTATACTTAAGCTTCACCCCTACCATGGAATAGTTTGCTGCTAAATGACACCCAAAGCCAAACTGACTGGGTGCCCTGGAATGACTCTGAGCAGTACAGGACTTTGAAGACTAATGACAAGGTTTTTGAAGGTGGTGCTGATGTTGCAGCAGAGTTTTGGACTGATGCAGTATAGGAAACAAGAAATATGACATCAGCATAATTACTATTCAACGTCCTACACTGTTAGAAATAAATTCAATTGCAACAGAGACGATTGGGCCCAACGTTCGAGGGGAGATCATATGAGATTGCGCAAATGTTCTCTAAAAGGAGTTTGTGGTTTGCAGTGTAGTTGACTTCTTTGCTCCCTTTTTCATGTTTTGGCTAGAAAAAGGAAGTGCTAGACACGCGGCTCTTTCTGCTGCAGGTTTTAGCTCTCGGTTATTTGTGGCTGTAAAGTCTAGAAGACCTTAAATGGGTCTGAAATTTTTGGAGCAGTGTCCTCTGGTTGGCCTTAGAAATGCATTGCAGTCACCCACTTCGAAGCCACATTGACATGTGAAACTAGCATCAACCATATTTACATTCTATGCTGCACAGTAAGTTCTAGAAACTCTACATGGATTCACTACACTGTTAGAAATAAATGTTCTGTGCAGATATATATTTTCGTTCATCAAGGGTCAAGCAATGTAAATGTGGTTTTAAGGTCTGATTTGTGCACCTTAAATAAGTTTTCCCAGGTGAAAAGTTCGTATTTGTACCTTTTCATAACCGAATGTTTTAAAACAGAACAGTAAAATAAAAGCCTGGAGACGAGACGGGGTGAGTGGAGTCAGTACAGCTTAGAACATATCATTTCAGTGGATTATGGTTCAGTTATGTTCCCTGACTAAAGGTACTGAGATGGAGCCTTAAGGGGTCCCACCCCAGTGACAAGAGGGGGACTGCCCCAGTGACAGTTTAGTACCTTTATTTCTGAGAGTGTGTTGTCACTATAACGGACAAACCATCACTGTGACAAGTTTTTGTTCAGCCAATAGATTAATTATATCTTAAAATTAATGAAATTATCAAACTTTTAGACAGATAGATAGATAGATAGATAGATAGATAGATCTTTATTGTCATTGTTAAAAACAATGAAAAACCATTTAGCAGCTTTAGAATTGACAGCAAAGACATGAACAAGAAATAAAGATAAATAAGGACAAAGAAAGAAATATAAACACAATGAGATAGTATATAAAAACATACTAGTGCAAAATGAAAGATATCTCAGTCTTAGGCCCAATCCCATTTCACCCCTCTTCCCTACCACTTCGCCCTTAGCCCTCCGTTTTGCGCGTTCACGTCTAGGGGTGGGGTGTCCTGATTCTTGTTGAGATAGAGGGGTAGGGTGAAGTGTTGGGGCTACATGATCCTCCAAACAGAGGTATTTCAGCGACTCCAAACAGAGAGTTATGAGAAAAAAAAGAAAAAACAGCAAGACGGCTGAACAAGAGACCAAAGAAACCTACAAATGTGAGAATTTTCTCTGTTAAAATTACGATAACCACTGTATTATCTTAGTTTAATGTCGTTTCAGTGTATTATGGTCGTTTTCTTCATAACAAGCATAACAAATCTCTAATAGCATGCTGATGTCTCTGTAGCTAGCTAGCTATCTTTCCCGTTCCACCTTAAATAGTCCAGCAGTTCTGATGCCTGAAGCGCCAGAATGTAACTGCTGCTCCATTTAAGGTGGAACGGGAAAATTCGAACAAGAAGCTGGTGAATATCTGACTTCAGCTTCATATCACTGAAGAATTAGGGGTGGGTGATAATAAATAATTGCCCCCCTCTTTGAAGGCATATGATGCCCTAAATGTAACTAAAGCCCAGCAGTGAGGAGCTGAACTTTACCCTCCTCTGCTGTCACTGCAGACTGGCAGGGTCGCCTACAGAGCAGCGCTGGTAGCTGTTAATGAAGTGATGCTCTTTTTATTTGAGGGTCCCATTTCAGAGGGAAGATTTCAACACTACCCTGTAACTCAGTTCCAAGGGGTTAGGGTGACACTCGAAAACAAGGGGTAGGGGTAAAAATGAGAAATGAAAGAAGCTGTTCTTTATTTTTCTGGGTCTCAGGAGGACAAAGTAGTGACTATACTTCTAAATAAATTTACAAGTAGTTCAGACATTTGTCCAACAGATGGCGCCCTTCTCCACCCCACACTCACGGCTTGTCTCATCTCTCTCATCCTGAGCTCCGCCAGGCGTTTACAGTGTCCTGTTGGACACATGGGAACTTCAGCTCTCCTAACTGAACTGAACTGAACTGATTCAGCTCTGAACACCAGCGTTCATGTGATTGGTTCCTTGACCAGGCAGTCCAAGGTGAAGGTGGCTGTGCTGGGCCGTGTTCCTCTCCTGCGGCAGGTAGGACCTCCCATTATCAGCGGCCGTCATGGCGAAGCCGTTTGAAGTCGCTGAGACGGACGAAGAGGACCGTCAGAAATGATGCAACCGCTGGTCAGGCTTTTACAAAAAAGAGCGAAAGGGCAGAGAGGACATAAATAAATAAATAAGTAACTCACCATAATCCTCTTGACTGGGCGCGCGCTCTCCTCCACTCCTGCGCGCGCGCGCGGCGCCACAAGTAGCTCGAGCGCGCCGGCGGTGGGCTCCGGGGGGTCGGTCGGTGGGCTTTTTCTCTCGGACGAAATGAAGTACAAAGGTCAGACGGGACACGGGCGCCTGTAATGGGGTGTGTTTGACCGGATCAGAGCCTCGCGCCTCGAATAATGTGTCCAATTACGCACGCGAGGCGCGGAGAAAAGGGCGGGAAGCGGACGGCAGTGGAGGTGTTTGGAGACTGAGAGCGGCGTTTGTGGCATGAAGTTCACCACAGGTTTCGATTACGGAGCCATGGAGCGACGAAAGAGGCTGTTTTTACTGCTTTTCTTCGTGATGGCAAAGTGGGACCTCAGTGAGCAGCAGGTTCTCCGAATAGGTGAGTTTCCTTCACAGCGGACAGAAGTTACTGGTTTTAAACTGGTAAAACGGCCCTGCTTGTTTTGTAGCAAAGCTTCTTAGCGTCTCTCTCTCTCTCTCTCTCTCTCTCTCTCTCTCTCTCTCTCTCTCTCTCTCTCTGTTTCATTGGAGTACAAATAGTACTATAAGATGTGAAGTGAAGATAATATACAAAACCCACGAACACAAAACAGTGTATCAGTTTAAACAGATGGGACACATAATTTTCTTTTTAAAAATGCCTTAACCCTTGTGTGGTGTTGGGGTCTGTGGGACCCATTTTCAGTGTTTACCAAAGTCATTTATTATTATTTCAACCTCAGATTCTTGTCTTTTGCTCATTTTCTGTGAAGAACATATAAAATAACCCATTTTCAGTGTCTTCACTCTGTTCACCCCCCACACATTTATATTACACATGTGGTGTTGGGTGAACCTGCGGGGAGTAAAAGTGGGGAGGTGCTGTGTCCTTCACTCTGTTCTCCTCCTACATGGCTGCTGTAAGTGTGTGTGAGGGTGGACAACATGGACAGGCTGCTGACTGGCTACAGCTGCTAAAGGAGAACCCTACGCTGGCCACTTGTGATATTTTAAACATCTGGTATTTTTACATAAATTATGATGACTGTATTGATTAAAAAAACAATACTGTGGTGGGTCCAGCAGACCACTGAGTAACAAACACATCAACACCACACAAGGGTTAAAGTGAGGCACATATCCTCATTGTTTTAACAGCTTTTTTGTGTGTGGAGAGTAGTGTGGTAATAGAACATGTATCCTCTGTTTTAAAATTCTCTCTCCTCACAACTTTTATATACTACACTGGTATATCTTTATTGTACTGCATGTAAGAGGCTCATAGTAGATTTTGTGGCCTACTTACAATTCGTTTATGTATATACAATAATTCATAATGCAGTTGTTCACAGTCCTGGTCCTGAAGCAGCCCTGTCCTCACATTTTAGTGTTTTCCTCCCTCTAACAGACCGACCTCAGCTCATTTTAAATCAGCCGTGTTTTGACCAGGTCAAACGTGCAGGTACATAAGGACCCGGATTGGGTACCAGAACGTTGCAATGAGTCAGGCTGTTTTTGTTGCTGTTCCTTTAAGACTGTATGTAAATGACCTCTGTACTGATTGACTCCCCTGTATTGTGTTCAGCAGTTTGTGCTGAAACACTCCTTATAATGTCAGTGTGGATGGGCGGGGCTAAACTGCTGTAGGCCGAAGAGGCGTGTTTAAAAAATGTGTTGGTTGACGTCAAATAAATACGAATTTAAGACAGCTCAGTTTCAGTCTGTCGCTGTTGTCTGGACATAACGTTGTATCTCCATTTTTGTGGTTTTTCATTCTTTGGCACAATTTGAAATCACTAGCTGCTCTTTACACTGTGCCAATTTTATGATGAATGGTCCAATAGAACTGCTCCAAAATTACTTGGAATAAATTATTTCTACATTTACTTCCACTAAAAGTTAAGAATGTTTTTCCTTCTCCTGTAAAGTTATCTCTTTGGAGATCTGACAGTGACTGTATGGACTGGGTAGTGAATGGTTTGAAATGTAAACATTGTTTAACTGTTAAATCAATTCTTTTATTTAAATAAAGAAAAAAGCAAGGAAGATTTGGTTTCCATGTTGTGAGCCCTTTAAGAAAATCAAGACTTTTCACACTATTAACTACTATTTGACACTATTAAAACCCATTTATTAGCCACAATACTAGCGTAGTCTTACCTTTCCTGCGAGCTAGAGCCACAGTTGCTGTGTACTTGTCCAGAGGTCAGCAACCCAAAAGTTAGTAAGAACATTTTTTTGTCAAGTTTCAACAAAAATCAAACCACCTTGGGAGCCACAACATTTCATGTCCATTTTATTGAAGTAACGTTTCACCGTCCAACATTTCATCCTTGTACAGGCTAAAAATACAGTATAAACAAAAACACAGACTTACTTTGCTCTGCTTAAAGCTTCAGCTCAGCTATAGCTGCTTTTCTCACATCTCTAGCAGGAAACTTTTCCTCAAACGTAGAACAGTTACTTGTAAAATGTCTCTCGATGTTCGACTTTTACGGCTTATGTCAGCTTCTCATTTGCAGCTTCTTGCTTGAATTTTCCCGCCCCACCTTAAATGTTGCCTGAGGCACCAGAATGTAACTAACTACGTAACTGTTGCACCATTTAAGGTGGAACATGAAAATTCGAACAAGAAGCTGGCGAATGAGCTGGAGTGATTATAAATGCAAATAAGTACATTAATCTCCAAATTATCGAATTTCGTCTCAAATCTTTCTTTTTGCTTTTTTGTTAGCTACTAGCTAGGCGAGACTGTTGTCTGTGTTGCTATGGTGACCAGCAGTCTGCGCTGATCTTCAGGGTTAAAGGGTGAATTAGCAGTTCTACATTAACTCCAGCGTTTAAGACCATTTATTGTTAAACTGTGTTGAACGATCAGCAGAGCTTTATTTTACTGCAAAGGAGGATTATTTTATTTTTACCTGGAAAAAAAAAAAATATAATAATAATTCTGCTGTGGAGCCACAACAGGACAGCCGCATTGCCGACCCCTGTACATGTCCTTTCAACTTTTTTGGTTGAAATGTTGACATACTTGAGAAAGAAACATGCATCCTATCATCATACTCATTGTAATAGTGTGAGCTGTGGCCACACTTTGGCCATCTGTGGACGGCCTCCTTGTGCTGTGTTTGAGAAAAGCCCCCTGACAGTACAGTGGCTGATGACCGCCAGTGCCTGCCTGCATCCACCGTCCTGTAAATCCCTAAAGCAGTTTTAACAACCTACATTAATCCTCTTTCCTAGCCAAGGCTTGATTTGACCCTCCTCTCCAAAAGACTGGACTTCATCTGAAACAGAGAGGCTGACATATTGCTTGTGCGGCCTAGTTTTGCCCCAGCTGTGTCTTTCCTCTCTGACTAACCCGTCACCTTTCCGTACGGTTTTTCAGCTTGTTTGAGGGCAGAGTGTAGAATTTGATTCACTTTAACTGTGAATGAGCCAGTTCAGCTGTTGACTCAGCACGGATGATTTTATTAGCAAGAACAGCATTTTCGCCCAGACAGCATAGACTGGCTTCTTCTATCATTGCACAGCATCTCCATTCCTTATCTCGTGTTCATACTTCTTGAGGTGTTGAAGCCGAGATGTCTTCACTGGACTAATAACATTGATTTCACGCATATTCCATACTGACACAGTGATCCTAGTAGGTCACAGCATGTGTAGAGCATTCTTTATAACATGTTTAACCCTTGTGTGGTGTTGGTGTTTGTTACTCAATGGTCTGCTGGACCCACCACATTATTGTTTTTTAAATCAATACAGCCATAATAATTTATGTAAAAAATACCAGATGTTTAAAATATCACAGATGTCCAGCGTAGGGTTCTCCTTTAGCAGCTGTAGCCAGTCAGCAGCCTGTCCATGTTGTCCACCCTCACACACACACTTACAGCAGCCATGTAGGAGGAGAACAGAGTGAAGGACACAGCACCTCCCCACTTTTATTCCTCGCGGGTTCACCCAGCACCACACGTGTAATATAAATGTACAGGGGGTGAACAGTGTGAAGTCACTGTCATGTGTTATTTTATATGTTCTACAAAGAAAATGAGCAAAGGACAAGAAATCAGAGGTTGAAATAATAATAAAACGCATCATTTTTTCTGTTGGTAAACACTGAAAATGGGTTCCACAGACCTGAACACCACTCAAGGGTTAATAGAGTACATTGAGAACTTTGAGATGTTGTCCTTGTGGACATATTGCCATTTGTCATTAAGATGAAAGCGCCTCAGTGTTAATCAAACTCCTGTATGAAAATTTAGGGCTGAACGATTTTGGAAAAATATGTAATTGTGATTTTTCTGACCAATATTGTGATTATGCTTTTAATTGTTTTCTATATATTGCTTTTTTCTGGGCTAAGAACACCAGAGTATACTTTTTCTGGTTTGAGGCTTGAAGGCTTAACACAATATCTAAGTTAAATAACACAACAGCCTGCCAGTTAATAGTGGTTGTGATGTCACAGCACATGGATGTTTGGTTGCTTCTGATAAGACGAATTGATCTAAAAGCGGTTCAGCAGCCCGATGTTATTAGGTTAAATTTTCTTTATTCAAAACTTGCAACTTATCAAAGATGTTGATAACAGACTATAAGATTATAATAAAAATTGCAGGTCTTGTGGTTTGAAAGTTGCACTCTTTTAAATTGTGGTTTTGATTTAAAAACAATTAATCTTTCAGCGCTATGAAAAATGCAGAGGTGCTTAAAACAATACATTGTGTTCAGTTAAGGATCAACACATTTTGTGTTACTTTCAACATAAAAACAACATTTCAAATATTTCTTTGCTTATTTATGGGTAACACATTTTTTGTTGCTTTGTTGCTAAAAGTAACACAGACATATGCTAAAATAGGTAACACAGGTAGGTGTGTTATTGTTTAACACATCACTATTCAGACTGTAGATTTACAGATATTGAAGAAGTGCAATCAGGTTTTAATTAAATGCTTTAGTACTCTTTGTAGGAAGTTTTTAAATATGTCTACTGTAATCATTTTTATCTCAAATGACATTTTTCTCTGTCATTTCACAACTAAAGCTGAAACAAAAGTACATTTGGCTGTAAGTAGTATTCAAATATCATGTAATACATTTACAGTCAGTGAAGGAATCATAGAGAATATGATTTAACATTTATGGGCACGAAAAGTGCAGACGTTACATAGTTTGGCCGTTGTGCTTGTGTCTTGTTATGCTTAGTATTCTCATCTCATACCTACACATTACTAAATCACGAGAGAAAGCATGATCGGAAAGCGAGAGGAGCACCTCCTTATGGCTGTGCTGAATAAAACACCATTAGCTTAAAGCATATTGTGTAATTGTCTATAGAGTCAGTAAAGGAAAGACTCAGGGGTGCGAATAACCAGCATAAGAGTGCTT